GCTTTCTGGGGATATGGGAGGTCCGGAGCAAGGGTTCCTAAACTCTACAGGAACACAATAGAAAGGCATGAACACCATCAACGAATCTAAACCCTAAAACCTAGAACTTGAACCGCACTCCCACAAGCTACTAGCCCCAGCTGCAGCCATCAACAAATCTAGGGCCTATAGGGCCTATAGCACACGATCAAAGCCTGCAAAATCAAAGCGAGCTACACGTGGAGTCGATCTGTGTAGATGAACCAAAACCCTCTCTCAGCATAGAATGCTGAACTGTGCTGGATCAAGACGGAAACTGATGATGCCAGGACCCTTAGACGATGAATTACGTGGCTAACGAAAAAGGCACTGGCAATGGACACCAAGCAACCAGGGGACAGGCCCAACAGAACATCATAGCCCTGTCGGGACTTGGCTTCGGGCTCAGGGTTTGTACTCAGGGTTTAGGGGTTTAGGGTNNGTTTAGGGTTTAGGGTAAACGGTTTAGTGTTTAGGGGTTAGGGTAACCGGTTTAGGGTTTAGGGGTTTAGGGGTTGTTTAGGGCTCAGGGTCCCCAAACCTAACACGGCACCAAATCAGCCATGTGGCGTTGAGGGGCGACTAGCCCGTCCACTGCTGCTAGCAGCTGCCTCGCATGAAAAGGGTTAGGATTACAACTTTCAACCCCCAGAACCGGGTAATCCTTAAGCCCACAGAACCTAAGAACGTCAACTCCCATCACCCTCTTTGCAAGCTTATGATCTCTAGGCCTTGGCTTTGCAAGAATTCTTGGGGGGAAGCGCTTGTTTTCAATACTCGGGGCTGTGGTTTCGAAGCCTGGGGCCACAGTGCCAAAGTCGGATTCAGAGTTTGGGGGTGTAGGGTTCGAAACCCTAAACCCTAAACCCTAAACCCTAAACCCTAAAACCCTAAACCCTTAGGGTTTCGGGGGGTCGGGTTAAGGTTCAATCGAACCCCGAACCTCCCAAACGCGACCTTAGGGTTTAAGGGTTTAGGGTTTAGGGGTTTGGGGTTTAAGGGTTTAGGGTTTAGGGGCTTAGGGGTTTAGGTTTTAGGGGTTTAGGGTTTAGGGGTTAGGGGTTTAGGGTTCAGGGTTTAGGGTACAACTCGAGAAACTTTGTAGCTGTAGCACAGGGGTTGAAGCCTCCCACACCTGAAATGCACAGACCCTTCCGCTCCACCGCAAACCGAAAAGCCGAAACTCCAAAACACTACCATGCGAAACCTAGATCCTAAACCCTGCATGTTACGTATACCATAGACCACCCCAAACCCCACACCCCCAAACCCTACACCCCAAAACCCCAAACCCTACACCCTAAAGCCCTACACCCCAACCCTTCTAGACTGAAGACACACGCTAGGACCGCAAGCCTCCTAGCCGGCAGCCTCACGGGATTTAGGGATTTAGGGTTTAGGGTTTTAGTGCTTAGGGTTTAAGGATTTAGGGTTTAGGGTTTAGGGTTTAGGGTTTGAGGAAATCCCAAAATCGGCCATTTGAAGCCAACCCTCATCAGAACGACAGGGGTATTTCTCCGAATGCGCATGAGTCCTTATAGGAGAGACCCCAGGTAGAACACTTAAGGCCCTGCTATGAACACTCTGCTAACTCGTGGAACAGCCTGGAGCCTTTGATCCCAAAAGCCAACAACAATGGCGCCTTAGCAGTTGGAACGTACTCTTGCAAGGAAGGGGGGGCACATTAACTACTGCAAACATATTAAAACAGATCAAAACATATCAAAACATCTTAAAACATATTAAAACATAATTATTAAGATCTTATTAAGGAATAATAAGAAAATAGGGCACTCGATCCAACAATTATCTGCAACAGAAGGTGGCTCTCTCGCAGTGGTCCTAAATGACTCAGGAAGCGCGCAACCGACTCATGAAGCAAAGTGTCGAAGGCCTGAGCAAAATCCAACTTTGCCGCGTACAAGGGCAAACCCGACTGTTGTGATTGCCGAATCACATGCTGCAGAGTCATGGACCCATCCAGGCTTTGAGCCCCCTGCAGCCCTGATAGCTGTCCCGACAGCATGGGAGGAAATTGCTTGCGTAGTCGACACAACAACAGCTTGCTGAAGAGTTTTCCGGGAGTCGACGAAAGAACGATCGGTCGCAAGTCCTTGGGTTTCGCTGGCGACTTAACCTTCGGCAAGAATACGACCTGTGATTCCAGCCATGTGGCGGGGATCAGCTTGCGCCCATGCAGAATAGAATTAAAAAACGACTCAAAAGACAATGGCAATGGACCCCAAGCAACCAAGGGACAAGCCCAACAGAACATCATAGCCCTATCGGAGCTTGGCTTCGGGCTCAGGGTTTGTAGAGTTGAATGCGTAGGGGCAAGTACCCAAGATTTAGGGTTTAGGGGTTTAGGGTTTAGGAGTTGTTTGGGATTTAGGGTCCGCAAACCTAACACGGCAGAATAACAAAAATATGATTAATAAAAAAAATAATAATATTGCTGCAACAACCATTCAGGCCCCGATAGTATCGTCATCAACATGATGCCGTCCTGCTCGGCTCCCTCGCCGGGATCATCGCCGAACCTCGCGCTGCCGGGTTTGGAGTCTGTAGGGATTACGGCTCAGGGTTTAGGGCGTTAGGGTTTTGGGTTTGGGGCTTAGGAGCTTCAGGGTTTAGCATGGTTTCGGGTTTAGGGCTTAGGGTTCTTAGATGGTTTTAATTCAAGGTTTACGGCGAAACAGCTACAGTACTGTTGCATGTCATAGGATGTCATAGGAACGCAACACGCTCTTCCGTCTAGCTCAGCTGGAATTGGCCCTGGGAGTTTGTCGAAAACAGCCGCAATTGTCCAGCTCACGAGGGCAGCATGTTCCATGTCAACATCACGGGGTGCCACGAGAGGGGACTTCCGCACCGCTGGCGTTCAGGCCTTTCCAGTCTGCAATGGGATGAGAGCCGAAGCATCTCGCGCAAACGTGTTTTCTCGGGCAGTTCTTCTGACTACGTTTTGCAAGGTTGTACCAATAGCATGCGTTGGATCCATCAGGAGTGTGGCTATGTCCTCCAAGATCCAGAATGGGTTTCGGGATGCGAAACGTCCCGGTCGGGGACTTGGTCTTCCCTTTGCCAATTTAAGCCTTTCTTCATGTTCTTCGGGGGCTGATTTGCATCCCGACCGTGAACTTGCGTAAACCAGGAGAAGCAATGGGTAGCGGATGTCGAGGCAAACAGCATCACGTTGGCGCCTCTCCAGACATGTGACGCAGACGCGTCGGTCGCCAGAAGACGGTCCACTGCTCCATACATGTCTTCGGAAAGCATCTTCGCTCCCTCAACCCCGGCGGGAGAGGAAGCTCACTGAAGCACCAAGATAGGGGCCTTCATCACCAGAATAAGGCTCTTTTGGGGGATAATGTACGGGAATTGCAATCAGGAGCCCCAAAATTTTATTGGTAATAATTTCGGCCTCTCTATTCGGGGCGTCTCCAGTAACCTGGGAAAGGGCTCCCTTTTTGGTACTGGGCACTTCCTTAGTAGAGCGTTTATCCCCTGAAGAACGAACCCCTCGAGCCGAGTCCACTGATTATTCATGCTCCGAAACGCCAACATAGGGTTTAGGGTTAAGGGGTTTAGGGTTTAGGGCTAACCCCCTAGACCGTAGACTCAAAACCCGGAAACCCTGAAAGCCCAGAGTATCCGCTAAAGGGAACCCTGGTAGTGGCCACCCTCTAAAGGGGATCCTTTCAAGGAGCCCTAAACCCTATACCCTAAGCCCCTATAAACCCTAAACCCTCAACCCTCAACCCTAAACCCCTAAACCCAAAGCCCCTAAAGCCCTAAACCCTAAACCCCTAAACCTAAAGCCCCTAAAGCCCTAAACCCAAAGCCCTCAAGCCCTAAACCCCTAGAGCCCTAAACCCTAAACCCTAAACCCAAAGCCCCTAGAGCCCTAAACCCTAAACCCCAAAACCCAAAGCCCCTAAACCCTAAACCCCTAAACCCAAAGCCCCTAAACCCTAAACCCCTAAACCCAAAGCCCCTAAAGCCCTAAACCCCTAAACCCAAAGCCCCTAAAGCCCTAAACCCAAAGCCCCTAAAGCCCTAAACCCCTAAACCCAAAGCCCCTAAAGCCTGGCCCTCTCTGACTGCGAAGCCCAGGAGCGTTGGTGATGGCGGAAGGCCACCCCCGAAGTTGGGGGAGGATGCCTCCTGGAGGCCCAGGTGTAGACTCGAACGGTTTAGGGTTTAGGGCTTTAGGGCTTTAGGGCTTAGGGTTTAGGGTTTAGGGTTTAGGGCTTTAGGGTTTAGGACCTGGGTTCAGGATTTGGGGCTTCGAGTTTAGGGTTTAGGGCTTAGAGCTTCGAGTCTAGGGAGGTGCTATAAGGTTTCGGGGCTTTTTTGGCTTGGGACATGGGGTTTGGAGCTTATAAAATTCAAGGCATTAGGCGGGCAATTGGGGAGCTTTAGGGTTTTCTGTCGCGGTTCGGGTCAGGGTTTGGGGTTTATGTTATGTTCTGCACCTTTTCTTCCGTCTGCTCCGTCTGTCTGGAAACACCACGGAGGCCCTGTAGGTTGGACGGATTATTTCTCAAGATTATTCATTGATATAGGTTTAGGGTTTAGGGTTTAGGGTTTAGGGTTTAGGGTTTAGGGTATACAGTTGTCATGATATGTTCATATACCCCGAAACCAAAACCTGACAACTAAGACTCGTCTAGAAAGAACCACGCTCTTCGAGGCTGCGCAGCATCCCGACTGTCTAGAACTCAAGAATCTCCTGAACTCCCTGAAATAATTCGTAACTTAGCAACATAGGGGGGCCTTATAATTAATAACTAGCTATACTATTCTATGGGTTCCTTATTATGAATGTAGTATAATATACCCCAAAGCCCCATTCTAACTAGTAGAACCCCTTACATTAACAGGTATCCCCTTACAGCCCCTATATGCTTTTAAGCTTGCCCCCAAAACCCCATCTGGGTGGTTGTCAAAGTTAGGGTCCCTTTTTGGGTCCTTAATATAATACGGCACCTATTATTTAGGAACCCTAAACCCTAAATCCTAAACCCAAAAACCCTAAACCCTAAACCCTAAACCCTAAACCCTAATTTTGACAACTACCCATCTGTATTCCACTATAGCTTTGAGCTCACGGCCGGAGGGTTGGGGGTTTACCCTGACGTTCAGGGTTTAGGGTTTAGGGTTTAGGGTTTAGGGTTTAGGGTTTAGGGTCCATGTGGGAATTTCAGGGAATTAGGGTCAGGCCCCAAAGTAGTTGCTTTTGCGGGTTACCTTATAGGATTAGGGTTTAGGGTTTAGGGTTTAGGGTTTAGGGTTTAGGGTTTAGGGTTTAGGGTTTAGGGTTTAGGGTTTAGGGTTTGGGGTTTAGGGTTTAGGGTACCTTGTTCAGAGGGTCCTGATAATAAGGATCCTACCATTTAGGGTACTATATTAGGGTCCCCTATTTTCGGAAACCTCCATGTAAGCATGACGCCTGTGTACATGTGCGCGACGCATTTCTTCGTCAGCACACTCGAACCTCAGAAACATCGCAGCTCAATCATCCTTTTCATTATCGGCAGTTCTCATCATGTCGTTAGTGTTGCATAAGATATCAAGGCCTAAATTTTAAACACGAAACTGAAAAATAAGGAAATGAGAATCGAGGATTACAATTTCTGACATCTGATGGTTCAGGGGTTTAGGGCTCTAGGGTTTAGGGCTCATTGTTGAACTGCTGTGGAGCTTTCTGTAGATGCCTGCCCACAAGTTGCCGAAGTGTCTTGAAGGGTTTTTGACACATGCTTGAAACAAGTTGCTAAAGACTGATAACCTTGCCTCTGACGCAGTGAGTCTCCACAGGTTTAAAGGCAAGCTTGATCCAAGAACGCTCCCTAAACCCTAAACCCCTAAGAGTTCTTCAGAGAGCTCTACCAGGGCTCAGGGTTTTTCGCCTGCCTTAATGCTTACAGCAGGTTCTAGGGGTTAGGGTTTAGGGTTTAGGGCTTAGGGATTAGGGTTTAGAGTTTAGGGTTTAGAGTTGAGGGCTTCCAGTTATATTCTACTTGTATTACATCCTGAAGCCCTCTGGAATAGGTATGGCAACAATCACACATAACCTTACGACAAGCCCTGAAACCTGCATAGCCTCCTGCCAAACCAGACGCCGCCCACCACTAACTCCTGCACCCTAAACCCTACAGAACCCGACAGGAAACCAGATATTATGAAGCTTGACCCGACGCCCAAATTCATAAAAAAAGCCCCGAACCCCCGACCCCTGAACCCCCAAACTTCAGCAGACCCTTAAGCCCAAAGCCTAAAACCCCAAACCTCAAACCCTAAACCCTACACTGAGCACCGAACCCTTAGCTCCGAAACCCCACCACCCGTCCTCGCCCTGGCTTGCCACCAGTGGTGCCAGTCTTGGCTGAGCGAGGCCTGGAGAATGCGTCTTTCAGGGTTAATAAGGCCCGTGGCGCTTGCCCTGAACCCTATAACCCTAAGCCCTAAACCCTAAACCCTAAATCCTACAACCCTATACCCTACACCCTAAACCCAAAATCCTACAACCCTTTACCCGCACTAAACCGTAAAACCGTGGAAAGGGGGGCTGAGGGATTGACATGTCATGACACGTGCGGCCTCAGGGGCTTGAGGTTCAAAGCTTCGGCAGTTGCTGGCCTGTCATTAGGGTTTAGGTTTAGGGTTTAGGGTTTAGGGTTTAGGGTTTATAAGGGTTTAGGGATACCCCTTTACAGCCAAAGCCGCTCTTAGGGTTTAGGGTTTCAGGATTTTGGGTTCAGGGGTTAGGCAACTCTCACACCTAAAACTATCAACTGTACGTAAAGGATCACGGCACATCACCAGCATAATGCCGCATGAAGAGTTTGTACGGACAACCTTCACACACACGACAGACGCCCTCAACCTCAACCACCCCACCTCAGAAAAAAAGGGAAGCACTTGCACAAATCCAAAACCTCCAAACCCCCAAAACACCCACAACCCCAGACCCAATCTCCCACAAAAAACGATATCCCAAACAAGCCCTAAACCCCTAAACCCCTGGACCCTAAACCCCTAAACCCCTAAACCCCTGAACCCTAAACCCTAAACCCCTAAACCCTAAACCCCTGGACCCCTAAACTCCCTGAAAGGCAAAAAAAACCCTACAGAGAAATCACCACCAAGGCCGGGAGCTGCCGAGCCGCTACCTGGGAGGGCGACCTTCCTTGCTGCAAGTCCGGACGTACCCGAAGAGGATCCCTGAGCCAAGGCTTTTCAGGGACCGGTTCAGGGTTTAAGGTTGAGGGGTTTAGGGTTTGGGGTTTAGGGGCCGGTATGTTTTAGGGGTTTTGCGGGTTTGCGGGTTGAGGGGTTTAGGGTTTAGGTTTTAGGGTCATTTGCATTTAGGGTTTACGGGGTTAGGGTTTGGGGGTTTGAGACGTTTAGGGCTTACGGTTTTGGGTTTGGGAGCTTTGGGGTTTGAAGGTTTAGGGTGTAGAGTTTGGGGCTTAGGGTTCCACGGGCATTCTGGGATTCCTGATTGAAGGGTCTCTATTCATGGTCTGAAGAGGGTCTCAAACAGGTCGTATTTGAAGGAGCCTAAACTCGAACACTGTTATAAATACAGCAGATTCTGTACCGTATGCCCCTGGTATGGGGTTTATGTAGATCAGGGTCCCTTTTTGGATCGTGCAGAACCCTTAGTAACAAAATTCTAACAGGGACCCTAACTTTCAAACCTGCTTGTATGTCCCTGGTCTGGTAACCTCTCGAGCCAACGGAAAAGGCAGCCAGAAAGCCAATACCCCTGAGTTAAGGAATAAACGCCAAATTACAAGGGGATTCGTATTATAATTTAAGGTATATCCTAAACACAATAATCCCAAACCCAGTGCAATAGACTTCTCCACCCAGAAGCCCCAAACTCCAAACCCAAATTAATTCCCAAACCCTCAACCCTAAACCCCGAACCCTAAACCCTAAACCCCAAACCCCAAACCCTAAACCCAACGCCCTATACCACTAAACCCCAAACCGCAGTCGTTTAGCCCTCAACTCTCAAAGCCTTGCTGGGGCTTTCCGTCGATGAGGCAGGTGATGGAGTGCTTGCACCGAACTCCTGGGCTAGGGTTTAGGCTTTAGGGTTTAGGGTTCAGGGTTCAGGGTTTAGGGTTTAGGGTTTCGGGTTTAGGGTTTGGGGTTTAGGGTTTGGGGTTTAGGGTTTAGGGGTTTCGGGTTCAGGGTTGTGC